GCCATACCCGATTGAAGGCCTTCGCTATGTCCAAACTAACGGCCAATGCCTCCCCCTTGGACTCTACTGCCTCCGCCCATCTATGAGTTAAGTAAACTAGAAGATCACCTGCTGATCGACCCCGACGAAAATCGTACTGACGGTCAGTGATCAGCTGGTGATCCTCAAGGTACCTCATGAGCTGGCAGTTTATAATGGACTCCATTATTTTGGAGAACAAGGAGGTGATGGCGATAGGCCTGTAGTTGGACGGGTCTGAGCGGTCGCCTTTTTTAGGGATCGGGTGGACCAAAGCTGTCTTCCATGAATTCGGGACTACGCCTTGGGAGTAGGAGTACCGGAAAAGACGCGTTAAAACCGGTGCCAACTCCGGAGCACACGTCTTCAGCACAATGGGAGGGACTCCATCGGGCCCACTCGACTTGCTGACGTCCAGGGAGAAGAGTGCTTTGCGAACCGAGCGCTGTGTAAATCGCACATCCGGCATGGAGCACTCACATCGCGGGATGGTCGGCAGTGTGTTCCTCCCGTCATCTAGAGTCGAGTTAGACGCAAAAAGAGAGCACAACAGATCGGCTTTCTCTTTTGCGGCATGGGCCAGTGAGTCGTCCTCTCTGTGCAGAGATGGAAGGGATGGCTGACAGAAGTTCCCTTGGACAGCCTTGGCGAGAGACCAGAATGCACGAGTTCCCGAAGGAAGGCGAAATAGCTTCTCGCCACTGCCGATGTGCTCAGATCTTGCCTTGGCAATGTCGCTTTTGAAGGACCTGGAGGCGGAATTATACTTCTTTTTAAGTGCGCTGGTGTTTAAATCCGGAGACGTTGATGCGTCAGCCCAGGCCCGGTAGCACTCCTGCTTATAGCGTGATGCTATTTTACAGGAGCGACCAAACCATGGCTGGGATCTGCCTCCGATGGGCACCACAGAGGATGGAATAAAAAAGTTCCATACCCTGAAGTACCACATCAGCAACAGAATCGGCAACAACGCTGGGATCTTCCGGCGAGAAGCAAACCCGCCCCCAAGGGTAGGATGCAAAAAAAGACCGCATCCCGTCCCAATCAGCTGACCTATAGTGCCAAACACGGCGGCAAGCTGCAGATCGCAACTGCGATTGGAGCGTGAGTGGCACCGTGCTCCGGATCAGACAATGGTCCGAAGAGCCCAGAGGGGCACCGACGGAGACCTGATATCCGTCCGGATGAGAGGTCAGCAGAAGGTCCAACAGGGAAGGTACATGGTCTTCCACATCTGGGATCCGCGTAGGCAAAGTAACCAGTTGTGTTACACCATATGCCAAAGCAAAGTCATAGACAGATCTACCCGCATGATCGGTTAAACGAGAACCAAGCCATTCAGCATGGTGGGCGTTGAAATCACCGAGTATCACGATCTCTGCGGATGGGACCTGTTGTAGCACGGAGTCTGCAGCCATTTGGACGTGGTCGATGAGTCGGTCTGTGTCGGCATTACCGCTATGGGACCTATAGAGGCACCCGTAGACGCGGGGGTGGTCGTCGCTGTCTACGCGCAGCCATAGGATGGACAGGTCCGTACCTTCAAGGCTGCCGAGGCGTCGAAAACAGATGTCCTCTCTGACGTATACACAAACTCCAGCCCGGGGCACAAAGGAGTGTTCCAATTTGTATCCCGGGTAGGAGAGATATGAAGTATCAGCCGGAGAGGACACCTGAGTCTCGGTTAAAAAGAGCAAGGCCGGCTTCGCCGTTTCTAGATGGTAATGGACAGCGTTAATGGTTGGAATGAAGTCCCCTGATGTTGCAAAAATTCACGGATAGCGTCACAGGGGTCGCCTTGGTTGTATTGCTCCGCTTGCCCCGAGCAGCATTAGTCGCGAGCGGAATTTTGCCCCCCTCCCCCCCAGAATACGCGGGGCAGCCTGAGCACCCACGCTCAGGAGTGAAGTAGTTTGGTCGTGGATGCTCAGCGAGGGATTCTCCAGGGGTGCTGGTACCCTCCTGGGGTAGTCTCTTATTTAATTCCACTACCATATTGATGGGGGGGGGGGGGGGGGGGGGGGAATTGGGCCTCCGGCCACCTGCACTCACCAAGCGCAACGCAGAGGTAAACCTCTACTTCACGCTGGTATTCTGTGAGGTCGTGGTACCACCCCGGTTCGAGCTGGCCCATCCGTGCGACAGCAAAAGCTATCGCTTGGCTCTACCACTGTTAAAACTGTTTGTTAGGATACGTCCACACCAATTGCATAGTAGGTTAAGAATAAGCCAAATTTATGTTGAAAGTAAGTTACAAGCGCTATCAATTGTTAGGAAAAATGTAATAATTTAGTTGTGTGGCTTTCACTTGATCAGACAGAGATAAAAAAAAAATATAAAAAATTCACAGAGAAATTTAGTCACAGTAAAAGCAAAGCACTTGTTTCAACTTGTTTATCAGTATTTACATATGAAAAATCGTTCTGTTCCGAAACCCTAATTAAATATAACATTGAAAATTAAATAATATAATCTGTAACTGTTCAATACATCGTTAATCAAGCAGTAGCTATTAGAACCCATTTACACAAGTTCAAACTAAATCATAAATTAAACGAAACGCCGCGCCGCTTTAACTTAGGTACTCTGATAAAGTAATAAATTTTATTTCATCATATAATATATAGTATTGGTCATCTCAACATATTCGCATAATTATATATACTATACACGTCCCACTGCTGGGCACAGGCCTCCTATCATTTCTGAGAGGGGATTAGGGCAAGGAAATGTCCGCCGCGCTGCTCCAATGCGTGTTGGCGGACTTCATATGTCTTCGAAATATATATTTTTTTCATATGTCTTCGATGTCTTCGATATATATTTTTTATTATTTTTTAATTACTTACATGATTTACTTATAATTAACCTCCATGATTTGGATCAGTGAGGGGCTAGGGGCGAGTAGTAGTAGAATTTTTCGTAGGATTTGGCCAATGTACGGGTTACTTTGATTAATCATCAATCAAAAATAAAATGGATAGTTATTGAGATTATCACAATTTTATTTTTTCTATTGTCAAGTGTTCTTCTCTCACTACACTTTAATGTAATACATTGCGGTTGTAAGTAATATTTATTTACCTAACAATGGAAGTAAATCCATTATTACATTATTCTCGATATTGTCGTGTAGTCGACTAAGTGAAAAAATATCATATAGCCCTCGAGAGATCGCACTTATAAAATTTCGCATCTATGTGATGTGTAACGCTCGACCGGAAGCACTATCAAAGATGCGAGACTGCTGGTACTGCTTTCGCCTATTCGCCTGCCAAGTGTGGCGATTATGGCAAACATCTTATAACAGTAGAGACCAGCCAATATCTCATTCATTCCCCTACTACAGTCCATCACAATTCTACTGCAGGACATAGGCCTCCCCGTAGATATCCACAAAGAACGGTTCTGAGACACCTGTGTCTATCAATTACCTGAGTGTTTTATTATGTCGTCAGTCCATCTAGTGGGGATCACCCAACACTGCCTTTTCTTCGCATCAGTTATCGGTTCGTCGAGACTGAGTTCCACATACATAAACACTCCCGCCTGTCACCCTACGGACTTCCATTTGGCACGATCCTGTCCTGACACACCTCTCTCGCCTCCTTTACATCCATATATCTACGCATACACGCTCGTCGGTTAAGGGTACACCTAATCTAGTCACCATCTAGGGTGTGCCTTTCCGACTCTGCCGTTTACTTCTGCAACATAAATTTGCTTTGTCACTGAGTACCATACGGATTTACTGAGCTTTCTAGCTGAAGTGACAATGGGCCGGTCATATAGCTTGAGGAATCACCAACCGATGGAGGAGAAAGGTTTTCAAGTTTCAAGCTTTGCAGGTGTGTCGTATTGTCGTCAGTGGTGTGTCTGTCCTAGTGTAGTGATGTTGGGAGTAATGGTACTGGGATTAGTGGTGACGGGGATAGTGTACACAATTGAGGGAGGGCGGGAGGTGATCTTGAAACTAGGTTTAGAAACATCGTTTTATTTTATCGAGCGAATGTACGCAAGGTAATTTTTACCAACTTTAATAAAAAAGAATCATTAAAATCGGTTCACCTAGAAAAAAGTTCTGAGGTAACATAAAAATAAATACAATCGAATTGAGAATCTCCTACTTTTATTTGAAGTCGGCTGAAAAAGTACAAAATGAAGGCAATATTGCGAACCTTATTGACTTTAGATATAATAATTGTACTTTTCAACTTATTTAAATTTGTGAGGAACAAACATACTTTGCGACTTTTAAAACTGGCAATATTGCTTAAAATTGTATTTTTATTCTTAATAACGGTATTTTATTTACACAAATATTAATAAAAATATACAATCTTAATATAAACTCTTTATAAAGAATCTTGGAAACAGGTTTTGTTTACTAAGACAATTTAATTTTGATATTACAAAATAAGTAAGCCTGAAAATATTTTAATTAAAGTATTTCTTTACAAGATATTATCAATGCTATTAACACTACTAAATTTCTTTTTAGATTTTCCTATGAGTGGTTTACGGCAGTAGTGACATGGAGGATTCGAACCCTTTACCATTACCACACTCTTTTAGTTTTGCACGACACTTTTTTATTTTTGGGACAATCATGTCTCCTTAAAAAATATATCTTCACAGTTTATCGTAGTAAATCGGCACTTAACCTTATAAAAAAATTGTACATAAAAATATAAAACTACATTTTGTCAATGTTAATTTGTTTTAATTATAAAAAATATAATATACTTTTTTGATACATATCTAATTATTTTTCTGTGAATTGTGTGACAACCATCAACTAAGCCGTGTTGCGAGTTATGTCAAAGTAGCTTCTATCACTGATAGATTAATATATATGGTATATTTGGGAACTTTACTTTTATTTTCTAGCTATAACCTAGTTCTAGAATTTTAAGCTACGTAGTGATTATATTTTCTTTAATTTCAAGAAAAATACTTTATAGACGCTTGTTCAAGAAAAAATGGAAGAAGGAAAGAAAAGTAAAGTATCAATGCAAGTTCTGAAGAGTCAGTCCGCAACTCGCGAACCGACAGATTTTGGTCCAAAATCTATAAGCCGGCTTCGTGTAAGAAGAACATCTTTTGGATTCACGGGTGTGCCAGGCATAAAACCAGTTGATAGAACTTCCCAGGTAATTACATCTACACGTTATATTAGAAATGGACATCACTATTTCGAGGAAGATTTTGGCACAGGATCCTAGCTCTGCGCTGCCTTACCCATCTGCCGAGTGTCGTCTAATTTCTGTGATGTTAGTGCTGTTACCCAGTTGGCTTTACAGCTTCATCGGCTTCAGTAATAAACTTTCAAGCTGCGAACTATAAAAAGTGGGCTGATGATGATGATGATACTGCTTAACATGATATTGGTGATGATGATGATGACAATTATGTCTGAATGTTACACACACAAGAACTCACACACGAAACTGTGTACAGATAAGTTACCTAACCGCTGTTCGAGCAGGGGTGGTTGTCCTCGGCTCTGATAGCTAACATATGCCGAGCGTGATCAATATAAATGTGATAATAGCACATTTTTGACAAGGCCAAAGTTTTTAAAAAGGCTGACGATAAGACTACCCATATCTGAATGAGGTCAATTAGTATAATAATCAGCAAAACATAAAACATTGATCCATAAACACATTTAAAACTATTTTTATATAATATTGACTTTTTAGAAAGTGTAGAAAGAATTGAGTAAAATAGAGTGTAGTGTGTAATTTATCTACACTCTATTTTACTGGTAGTTAGGACTTGGTATTTACTTATGTTTCCATGGTAATATTGGTTTTGTTTTTAAGCTTGCTTTGGAGTACAGGCGACCTCCATTGATTTATCTCAACACGTACCAGCTAGAGCCAAACAATAAATTTGACGTATATAAAGTTAAGAAAATTACAGATCAAATACTAGATGAATGCTTCACGGATCACAAGTACCACGAACAGGTTACATTTAATATTTACTAATATTTACGCGAATAATATACATTGAATAAAACTTTTATGACGGATTTTCAAAAACTTTATAAAATTCTCCATTATATTCTATGTTACATATTTATTACTGTAGTGGATATTCTTATATCACCACATATCGTCCCGTGGGTGTTGTAATAGGCGAACGAGGGAAACAAACCAGAAGATAAGCAGCAAGTCTTTTTAAAAGAAGTAAAATAATTAAAAAATAACGCGTTTGCCAATCTGCCTGCCAAACGTAGAAACTATCGCAAATATCCCCCTTCGAGGCAATTTATGCGAATGTCTACGTTGAGCAGCAGACTTTTGGTAGGCTGTATTGGAAAAAAAATATTTAACGTAATAGTTTGCTGCGTGGTAACGGTGCAAGAAAATTCAAGGTCCTGAGATGTAACGCCTCGTTTTCAGTAAAAAGGGTCTCCAGTTCTCTACACTCACCATACGAAACAGCAGCATTAAGCTATTTTATGCTGGTATTCTTTGAGAGCGTGGTCCTACCCGATCGGGGCGACCCATTCGTGCTGCAACTACAAAATATCTAGAGCATGGCTCTACCACGTAAGAAATAATTATGAAGAATATATTATTATATAGTCATGAATATAGGACTCTCTACCGTCTTTGACTTCATTTACATTATCTTACAAAAAGTCAAAACAATTCAGTCTAAGAAAAAGATTCTGCGTCACAGATTTAACAATCTTCAGTTTTTTTTTTCATTTTTCTCATGTCTCACAGGAATCACCGACGTTAGCTATGCGCATAGCAGGCGAAGTAATGCGCAAAATAAAAAGTCTAAGCTTCAATCGATACCGGATCATAACTGTCGTGACAATCGGTCAAAAGAGGTCACAAAGCTACAACAATGCTGTTGCTTTTATATGGGACCATGAAAGAGATAATTACGCCGACGTTATGAGGGAAGTCAGTAGTGCCTTTATTCAGATAACAAGTTTCGGAATTTATCTTGATTGAATTATATCAATCTGTTGCTATTGAAGGAGTTTTAGTTGATTCAGGGGCAAGCATTGAAAACGGCTGTGTTTATCTTTGTGGATATGTTTCGAGTATTCATGTTAAATACAAAATGTGTGATGGTTTATCTTTCTTGTTAATTATTTCTTTTCAATTATTATATTAAATCTAAATTAAAAGATATTTAATTAAATTAATAAATTAATAATCTGTATAAATAAAAATCATTTGCCGCATGTATGAAAGATCACTTGAGAACGGCTGGGCCGATTTTGATAAATTTTATCGTGTGTATTTCAGTGAGTCCCTGGATGGTTTAAATTTACAAATGGATCCGGTAGGTGGCGATATGATCGAGATCCAGAAATCACCAGTGCGAAGCCGAGGCAAATCGCTAGTTTAAAAAAATATTGTGAAACAAGTACAAATGTATATCCAAATCACAAAAATAATATAATTAATGGAATCAGGCGTTACTATGCGGAAATCCATTATATTAAAGTTGGTAAAAAATGACCTCCCGAACATCCATCCGCTCGATATTTTGCGTTCACTATCCCCGTCACCATTAATTCCAGCAGCACTACTCAAAACACTACTACACTAGGAAAGACACATCACTGACGACAATACGACACGTGTTTCGCCTCTACACGAGGCGTCCTCAGGTGATGTAGATTCTGCGGTTGCTAACCGCTAAGTGAGCGGCGAGCTTTTTTTTGCGCCACGAATTAATGAAAAGGGCTACCCTCCCGGAAGAGGGGAAGGGAGGTGGTGAATGCTCTAAGCATACCGCGAAAGCCGGCTGCCGTGGTTATGTGTGACTCACTGCGAAACCTAAGTGCCTACCCACTAAACACCACCTGTGAGACTGACATTGGCTTGTGTCGCCTTTCTGCCGAATGGGAAGCGATCCTCTCTAGGCAAAAGGGGGCGCAGGCGGCTAGGAGCCGCTGTGAGCGCCGAGCCAAAACAAATGCTGTTTATACAGACCGCTGACGCAACCGCTCCCTACTTAAGGAGCGAGCGACCGCGTCATGCGATAAAACGGCGAGCGGATGTACGCGAGGTAATTTTTTCACCAACTTTAACAAAAATAATAGACTATTAATTTTTTTTTGTATTAGACTGTAAATAATCCACATGGTAGGCCGAATGACGAATGTTTAATTATGCTTCCCGGTGCTGTTGTAGTTTATACCATGATTATATACATAGTTATCTTCCTTAGTAGTATAAGGCCTTTCATTGAATGTTCCTAGCTCTTGCTATTTACACTTGAATAATCCTTGGGAGGAGAAGAGCTAATGAATTCTCTTAGGCACATAATTATAGATTATATGAGGGGCGTTCAAAAAAAAAAAGACAATTCGCTACAAACTCTCCGGAACTAAGTACTTGAAAGTTATTTGTTTACGCATCTGTAGCGGTTTATTCTAGCGTATTGGGGAGAATTACTCGCTGTTATTAAGTTTCTGTGCTTAAAAAGTTCGGTACAGAAGAAGTCAATCAAGATTTACGGGATACATTACATTAGTGGTAAATAGTTAGCCGTGTTCTACAGTTGCAAATTAGTGTGCCAATCTTGGAAGAATATCCATCAAAGATCGCTTATATCGCGGCAGCAGTGACCGAAGAAATGATTAAAATAGTCGAAAAAATTGTTTGATCACATTGTCGTGTCATAGTACGTTTTATTGCTGAAGAAACAGGGAGACATAACATTTTAAAATGAACGTTTGGAGATAAACTGCGCTTAGTGTTGCCAGAATGCTGACCGATGCGCAGAAACAAGCTAGACTAAATATTTCCCGAGACCTTGTGGAACTGTTGCACCAAAACTATCAATGACAAGTTTTTTATCTCGATTTATAACAATGAACGAAACGTGGCTTCACGTTATGTGACTTGGAAAAATCCAAACCCCACGAACGCCCCTAGTATTAACTGTACTTTTTTCATAAATTATATTTAGCTTACTTTTTTTAATTATACAATTTTTGTCGGTATACAATATGACACGGTACAGTATTCTTTTTTGCACATCAAGGAAAGAAAGAAACATAAAGAAATAACTAAGGCGGTCTTATTGCTACACAACAGCTTCTTTCAGACAACCTACATAGAGACAAAAAAAAAAGAAAAAACACAAAAAGTAATATGGCAACACTATGTGCCAACGCGAAGGTGAGAGGTCAGTGTTAAATTAATAAAATTTTAGTTTTGGCGCGAACTTGACCGGCCAGCGGATTGCTGCTCCTGTATTATCGTTTAAATCTAAATTACAATCTAAATTACACGAGGGCGAAGTAACGGGGAACAGCTAGTATGTACTATTATTATAACAACTTTTATAGGTGCTAGGCCTCCTTTTCTATCTAGGAGTTAATCTGGGCAGGTAACCACCCTCTTACCCACTTCTGTCGCCAAATAGCAGCGCTTACTCTGTTGTGTTCCTGTCGGAAGGGTTATAGCAGGGTATAGAGAGACAGTATAGTTTAGTCGTTTTAGTCACATGATGTAATTCAAAAAAGGTTACCAATATAGATTAATATTATGTGAGGAATTTCATTTTAGTTCTTATGAGAACTAAGATGGAATCCGCATCTGTAGCCTTCTTTGGTTGAAGTTAGCTGCAGGTACCCATGGACTACATGCCATTACATTAGCCATGCTGCAGCTATAACAGTAGTATAGTTGTAGCACGAATGGGTCGGCTCGACCGGGGAAGGACCACGCTCTCACCGAATACCAACGTAAAATAGCAGCTTTACGCTGCTGTGTTTCGTATGGTGAGTGTAGAGAACCGGAGACCCTTTTTACTGGAAATGAGGCACTCCATCTTAGTCCTCACGGGCGACAACGCATCTGCATTTTGATTTTTAATAGAGGATAGATGTTGTCTATGGGCCGCAGCAACCAATTACCATCAGGTGGACTGTGTGCTCGTTTGTCACCCTTATTCTATAAAAAAGAAAAAAAAACAGTAGCCACTTCCTACCAGGTGGACTTTAAGTTTGTTTGTCACTTAGTTTTATAATGAATAAAAAACGTTTAAAACCACAGACCAGTACTAGTTAAGTAGAAGATGAAGAAAAAAACAGAAATCAGAGGAAATGGTTATGTTTCGTTTTAAAAGAATGTTGTGTTTGAGCACGTTAAATTGACAACGGTTAGGAGTTTTAAACTCCTAACCGTTGTCAGTTTGATTTCAAATACATAGAATATTTTTTTGTAAAAAGTAGAGGAGTGCAAGGACCATTGAACGAAAAGTTTTGCTGGAAAGAGGGGAAAGTTCCCACTTATAAGAGGAGCTAAGAAGTTTAAAACTTTCAGTAAATTAGGGTCGCCTGTGGAAAGCAGAAAAAAAATTATTTATACGAAGGCGGATTGGAAGCCACTTGAGCTTAGCACTGTATTCTGAGACATGTTCATGTTTATGACATTCAAATATGAAACGTATTCATATATTTTTAAGGCGCTTGAGTTTAAAGTTACTTGGTTATATCAAGATAACATATGTCAGTATAATCGAGGAGAGTACAGTAAAGATTTCGCAAGCGTAATTTTAGTCGAAATGTGTAAGACGTGATTCATTATGCCAAGTGAAACTGCAAATGCAAGTACGACAGTGCGTATGAATAATGTGCCTAACTAGACCAAGATAATTATATAAAGTTCCGAGAAACTACGTTGGTAAGCTAACTCTGCGTTTTCTAATAGGTACAAACAGTTCTTATTTTCAATGATGAATGAAAACTAATATCAAACCTGTGCCCAAAACATATCCGATGTAATTGCGTTCAAAACATTGGCACAGAGTACATTCAACTGAACCAAAGCAAAGCAGACTGGATAATAAAACCATTACATAAAATTTTATTAAAAAAATAAAATAAGGTTTGATATGACGTCATATATTTATGATTGAATGATGCGAGATTCTGTATCGTTTGAACATTACTCATACATAACATAATTCGTAAGAGCATACTACTTATCTACTATATATACATACTAGCTGACCAGGCAGACGTTGTTCTGCCCTTTCCGAAAACCCTTCCTATAAAAAATTCTTAAATTTGTAATAAAAAAATATTGAGGGTCACTTATCGGGATAAAAACTATCCTATCTCTCAAGTTGGACCAAACTGCACACAGTTTGAAAAATTTTATTGAAATCCGTTCAGTAGTTTAGGAGTTCATCGCGGACAAACAATGTGACACGTAATTTTTATATACAATGTATATATATATATATATATATACATATACCGGTATATATATATATATATATATATATATATATATACCGGTCTTAGTTTTAAAAATAAGCCCACATAACATTTATTTTTTGATAGTCGCCGTATCTCTAACGATGTAAAGATTATTCAATTTTATCGAATGTTTGATTAGAGCCTCCATTTTCATGCATTTTAGGTACATATGCTTACAATATATGAATACAACGAAGCTATCGTTATTTTTGATGGCTTTGTTTTGTTTTAAATGGAAAAAATGCCTACGTATACCTGCCTCGCGTCCCAGTCTCACACCGACTAAAACCCTATGGTGTTTGACCTTCGCTGCATATTCAGGGATACGGGAACGCCTTTGGTCACATTCGCGGCAACTCGAAAGTCAACTAACAGTCTCTGCTTTTTTCCCCGGCTTTCCCAACCCTCAGAGCGATTCTGGTCTATGGCTTCGCTGCCGACCACATTTCAGCCGCAGAGAATAGGGAGAGCAAAGCATTGTAATACTAACACTTCTCTCCCCCCGTGGCCCCATCACCACCACATACAGGTCTTGCCTCAGTGAATTAATTACAGCGTAAGAGTTTTTCAAATAAGTTTCTTTTAAAATAATGGGCCTCTGATTTATATTAAGAAATTGTCACGCACGAAACAAACAATAAAACTTCTAGTGACAGGCGAAGCTTTTGGATACCGCGCTCTCTAAATGTATGTCGGTGGACCTTATGATATATTCCATCACTT